CAACAACAACAACAACAACAGCACTCTCTCTCCGCGCCCAGACAATAGCAAACCTCCCCCACCTTACTTTTTAGATCCCACCTCCTATGGTAGGTAGATACTGCTCCTCGTGACAAGTAACCTGAAGTCTCTGACAACATCAACAAACTTCCTGACTGGGATCCGTAGTCTCGACCTCGGATATCCAACCTATCAGTGATCTCGCCCAGTTTCTACACTAACCCCCAAATTCATGCTTACATCGAACCACCTTCAATCGACTGTTTGTTAGCCCAGCTACCTCGGGTAACGCAGTGGCGCGGCAATTACCCAATGTTCGGCCCTTGGGAAGCCGCGACGCAGACACATCCCGTCATGTGTTTGCCGTGCTTGCGTCTTGGGGGCCCTTCCTTCCTAATCCTAACCCGGATGAGACGGGGCATGTCCCGCTCCATGAGAAAATCTCGAGTCCCGTGGTTCTTAGGTCTTTCCGTTTCCTCCTTATCACCTACCTTAACCGACTCGGACCTAGACAATACCAAGGTAGTAGTCTAGGAAGGAGCGATGCGATGCACAAGTCAAGGAGGAGGGGAGAAAGGGAAGGAGGGGGGTGCTCCGATAAGAAGGCTCCGGGGTCCAAAAAAAGCGGGAAGGAGCCGTGGGATTCCTGCCGATACTTGCCGGTACATCAAGATACACCACACTGCACCCAAAGCTCTTGCAGTTCCTATCCCCAGCGTTGAAGTTGAGTGCAAGTTGATGATCTGAGCGTTTTGATAGTGGGCAAAAAAAACCAAAGTGGGCTAGGTTGTAGGTACTGCCCCCGCTATGTATGCGCCACTATAGACGAGTGTGGGGTTAGCAATAGCCGCAGGGATCCACTTTTTGCGTAGCGTAGGCGCGAGCAGGCCGACTTTTGTTGGCCCGGTCGTTTCCCCTCTTTCTCTTTTCGTCAACCTCTTCCGCGTTTCCTCTCTCGGCCCACACTTTTTCACCAAATATCACTTTTCAAACTTCTTGGACTCTCTCACACTAAACGCGGCACCTATACGGCGGCACCTCTTTGTGCGACGGACCCCGACGCGCGCCGGCATTGGAAAGGCAAACGAGAAATCCTTCAGTCTAGTACCTAGTTCTAGGCACAAGGGAGATCAACGTATGCAGCCACTTGTCTTTCGTCTTTGCCAGCAATGAACGAACCAAATCACCGCCGACTCCTACTCCTAGTCCTACCCCTACCTACACTCTCGCCGCAAACAAGAAAAGTTTAGATGCAATGCATGTCTCGAGATCCTGCTGACCACCGTGTCTCTCTTCGCACCGCGGTCCAATCCTGGTCAGGTTGTTCTGCCCAGAACATAGCCGTGGACCTACGACTTACTACTGGGCCATAAACGCGGTCGCGGAGAGGAGACTGGTTCGGGTGAAAGCTCCCAACAACACGGCGATAAATCTAAACGAGGATAGGAAGCCGCAAGCGCAAGCGATATCCTGTCCCCCGCCGAACATGGCCAACAACCTCAAGGCCATATCCACCACACAAGTCCAAACATCTACCGACTATCTGGGGAAACTTTACCTTGTCGATTGCCCATTGTGGTAGAGGCGTAGGAAAGTCGCAGCAATACGAGCCATGTTAGGCAACTCGTTGCTATGTGATGATGCAGTGCGCCCATCAAGCAAAAGGGATCACTTCTTCCGGCCTGACGGGCCTCAGCTTCTTTCGGATGGCCGGCCATGCCACCACAGACGTGACGACTCCGCTGATAGTGCAGATGCCGTCATCACGAACCCCTTCAGCAAGTACACCACTGCAAAAAGTCACACGCACCTATAGTACCTGATCTGAGGCCAATATCAGAACCCGTGCTGTGTACTTCCCTTCAACTTCTGGTGTGGCCGGTCCCGGCATGGCCCCCGTTTATGGCCCCCGTGTGCCGTACAGTATCGTCACATACTGTGTCTCTTACGGGCTACGGCTGCCGACTCCATTTTACACAACACATCTCCACCGGGGCACGCCAACATATGTAAAGCATCGCACCGCGTACCTTGCGATGCCCAGAGGTAGGTTGGCACTATGCTTCTTAACCCCGCACCGCGCATCGCGCGCCGCCGTAAGCCGGACGGCAGTCGGGAAGCCTTTCCCGCACGCACAGGTCGCGGCATGCATCCCTTGATGACATGATGCTGGCTGGCCGGCTTCACCCAAAAGGCTGGTTGAAAACTCAGAAACGATATTTCTTAATTACTCGCGTTGGATCCGAGTCTCGTGGTACATACAACAACAGGCACGACAGGCATCTCCTGGCGGCGTCAACACGTCACAACTCTTGTCGCCAATGCCTGACGAGGCGTCCAGTCTCACACCCCGTTCTACTCTGGGAAACAGCAGTTTGCGCCATGGCAGATCAAGCAAGCAGCCTATGCACATAACCTTGTGCTTCACAACATGAATGAAGCCAGACACTCACAGCTCGGGGCCAGGGTTTGAATTCTCCTCAGTTTCTTTTTTTCTTCTTGACCGGACCGCTCGTTGATCTCCTGTTTTATCCACCCGTTATCCGACTCGCTTTTTTTGCTGTGCCACCGGATGTTGGCCGAGACCTTGCTCTTTTTTTTGTGTTTTTCCTTCGAACGCTTCGATAATTACCGAATGTACCTTTGGCACACTAGTACCTGACTATACAAAGCCTAGTTGGGATGAGTTGGTCCGGGTTTTTAATATGGGATGAACCGATAATCACCAACGGTGGCATACCTTACCCGATACTCATGACCGGCAAGACGTCCGGCGGCCCTGCGTTGGGATGTGAGCCCATGTTGGGCATAGTCTGGTTATCGGGGATACGCCTGCTTCCTTGGCGGGAAGAAGAGTTCCTTATGCCCGTAAACGAACCAGGGGGAGATGTCGTTCTGGAAGAGATTCCCGATGGAAAAAGAAACGAGATTACCGTCTAAACTGATAACAGTAAGTAGGTTGTGCCACATTGCGTCAAAATCATTGCGAAATGCATGGGATTCGCCATTCATATCACTGACTAAGAAACAAGCGAGGAATATTCTCTCTTGTTACCCTGTAAGACGCGGTGCCTAACCCTGTCTCGATGAGGTAAATCGATCCTCCCTTT